CACCGCACCACACCCGGCCCCGGCGCGCCCGGCCCCTACCCGCCCGTTATGCCTCCATTCCAGCGAGAAAACGGATTTGGCCTTGGGCGGCATTTGCGCTGCTCGGTGTGCTGCGGCCCGGCCGCGCGGCGCACGGAGGACCGCTCGTGGGGGACCCAAAGACCACCGGGAACAAGGGGGAGGGGACTACGGGTGCAAAATACGCTAGCGGCGCTACCCGCGTGTGTGAGTAGTGTGTGTGTATTGCCGTGTTGAGACAATGCTCGGCTCTGTGTGCAAGTGCCCGAGACCGCGGCGAGGCGTGGGGTGGCGGGGCGGGGCGCGGGGCGCGCTGCTGGGCCGGCCTATCCCTTGCTCCAGGCGACTCGCTGTCCCGGTTCCCAGCTCGCGCGGCCCGGCCGGACCACGGGCCGCGCACTGCTGCCGGACGCACCGCCGCAGAACGTCGTCTAGGCCGGGAGAGGGGCCGGCTAGACCGGGCGGGGCGCGGCACCGAGCGCGGCACCCTCGGGCGGAGGTGGGCCCCTCCTCGACGGGGCCCACCTCGCAGTAAGTAGGGTACGGTGCGCTGCTCGATGGGGTGTGACCGCTAACGTCGTCTGCTATCCTTTGTGGCGGCGAGAGCGCGACGCGACAGGGAAGTCCGAATGTGGTCGGATTACGCGGCGAGGGCCGTCCCTATGGGGGCCCCGGTGGCGGCTCTGGCAGGGCGCGGGCCGCGGTGTCCCATAAACTGTCCCCCTGCCCGGCTGAGCGCGCACGCACCACACGACGAGCCGCGCAGCGCTCGGAGAGGGCGTCAAGCTGCCGGCAGGGAAGACCATCGGTGCACGTTGTCTTGCCTCTCCGTCGCACTCCCTGCGTGAGCCCCGCCCTATTCGTGGGAGTGGGAGAGAGACGGAGACAGACAGATGGAGGGGCACACGACGCGGCGACGACGACGACTTTGGCGCGCGTTGCCTGTCCCTGCTGCTGCTGCTCGCCGTGATTTATGGGAGTGAAACTGGTTGTTTGGAAATGGCTCTGCGTGGCAAGAACCTGGCGCGGCCCCGCTAGTCTGTCTTCTTTGGTTCACACCCGCGTTGCCGCTGATGCGGGGGGGATCTGCACGCTTGCCGCGCCCGGCGCGTTGGTGCAATGTACACTGCAGTACTGTAATGCGAAACGAGGTGGTAGAACGGTGACGACATGTCGACCCAAATTTTGCTGGTGGAGCTTGCGGACCGTTTGCCGGCGCGCTTCGCCGCCCTTGCTGCCGCGCCCAGCGCCCCGCGCCTCTGATCTCCCAGAAGTAGTACGTTTTTGTGTCCTGCTGATCCTCTAACCCCGCCCGCTTTCCCTCTGTTGCAGGACCAGAGCACCTGCAGCGATGGCTCGCTGCTCAGCATGGGCAGCTCAGACCTCGACGAGGTGAGTCAGCCGTTTGCCGGGTTTTAAGGCCCACTTTGCGCGCTCACCACTGAAACCGACGATATTTATGAAAACAATCTCGTGCTTGTCCTCCTGCAGGACTCGTGTGGCCAGAGCTCGTCGCGGCATTCGTCCAAAATCTCACTCCAGGACAAGAGGAGTGCGTTCGCTGATGGAGGTGGTAAGCGTACAGCTTAAAACGAAATGGATCCTTAAGCTTATTTTCAACTCAATTAAGAGCCCGTGAAAAGTCTATTCTCTCTGTTTTGTGGAAACATAGTTTCGTACATCCCCGAAAGGACACTCAGAGACGCACCTGAATTTGCCTTTTGCAGACCTGGAGGTGTCTGTCAGCACGACCCCCCTGAGCCACAGCGCCGCCCGACACAAGATGGCTATCAAACCGAAGCGAACCCACGGAGCTCCTCGGAGACGAAGGATCCAACAGGTAAGGCTCGTGCTCTTGAGCAGTGATGTCACACGCAATTAGAGAAACATCACACCATTAATATGTATGTACCCCGTCTCCTCCTTGCGCAGCTCTCAGCCCCAGCCCTGCCAGCCACCCCTGAACTGAACGAGGAACCCAGCGGTTCAGGAAGGAGCATCAGTCCAGAGCTCCCCACCAGTCGCATAGGTATATTGAGTTAGATTTTGTAATTTTTGAATAAAAAGTTGTTTTTTTTTTTAATTTTATTTTTAAACGAAAAGATTGCGACATGATGTTTTAAGAGTCTTCAACTGTCTGCTGTATTCGCTTATGATGGTCTTCTTTATTCCAATAAGGGGACTGATATCATGACTGCATGGATTTATGTTTATAATACCTAAATGACATAATTGTCTATTGTAGCACTTAACAAAATTACTGACCCATCTCTCCGTCTTGAGAAAGACAACGCACCTAACTAAGACGCTTAACAAAGTTGCATTAAGACTTATCGTCACAAACACGAACCACTGCAAACATTGCGTAACTTAGATAGAATTTACTTCGGCTGCTCCACGCGAAACTACGCTACTACCTTTGGCTATGCATTCGGCGACAAAAAAATCACACGAGCTGCTATCAATCACGTATAAAGAGGGAATGCCGCCTGCTATTAATACACAATTTCCAACACTTCTCTGTTCCACTTAAATTGAAAATATCCTCGTTGGCAATGCCAATGCCCGGGCTCATTCGCACCTCTCACTTGCAAAATTTCCCTCACGCGCCCCCTTCACTTATGTTCAACCTGCCTGTGTGTCTGTTGTGTGATGTGTGTGTTTGCACGTGGCCCTGCCTGCTTTGCTTCTAGCGCCCACTGCTGCTGCAGCTGAAGCCTCGGCCCCTGTCGCGGTCCCTGCTGCCGCCCCCGCTGCCGCCCCTGCTGCCGCCCCCACGCCCGCCCCCCGCTCGCTCCTCACTGCCACCAGCACCACTGGCCCCGGCCCCCCCGGCTACCACCTAAAGTCTGCGTCTCTCCCCCCCGGCGCAGCGCTGCAGCGGAATCCTCCCTTCGGCCCGCTCTACGGGTCGTCCGGGTCCTCGGGCTCCTCGGGCGCGCCGCCGGCCTCCGGCAAGGGCTCTGGTGCCTCTGGCAAGGCGGCCGTGACGGTGACGCGGAGCCGGTCGAGCGCCGCGGCGCGCCAGCAGCCGGAGCACGAGGCGGGGCGCGAGCACGGCGCCACGCGGCGCAGCGGCTCCTCGGACCAGCTGGACCGGCACGAGCAGGCCCGCCAGCAGGAGCAGGCCTCCGTCAAAACCAAGAGGGAGGACCTGTCCTTCTTCGGCCGACTGCTGTCGCGCCGCTCCGGCAAGAAGAAGAAGGGGGAGCGCGCCACGGAGCAGCCGCCCGCCCCCGTGCTGCCCGCCGGCGCGGGTTCGGCGGCCCCCGCCGCCAGCTCCGCATACTACAGCGTGTACTCCGCCAAGGACGCGGTGGACGGGCCCGCGGCCTGCAGCCTGCCGACGCGGCGCCTGGACGAGAAGGGTCGCTACGTGGCCGAGGCCGAGGCCAACCACCCGTCCGGCCTGCCGCCCAACGGCGTGCCCCCGGGCGCCCTCACCACGCACTTCCTCACCAAGCAGCAGCAGCAACAGCAGCAGAGGCCGCGGCAGCGGCTTGAGCCCATGACCCTGAGCCAGCGGGACGACGAGACTGAAGACGGGTTGGAGGATGACGATGTTGACGTAGCTATCACCAGGACCACCACACCCCTCGACGGCGTACCCATACCCGTCAAGCCCGAACCCGCCGCGGTGGCGGCAGCTGCAGCGGCAGCCGCGGCCAATCGCATGCAAGTCTCGTACTCCACGTCACCGCCGGCGCCGCTCTGGCCGGCGTCCAGCATCGCCGCCACCCTCGCCCCCGTCGAGACCAAGGTGGTGGAGGTGATCGAGAAGACCCCAGAGGCCCGCAGCCTGTTCGAGCAGGAGCGGGAGAAGGAGAGCAGGTGCCGCATCCCGGGGCTTTCTGCCTTCCAGCAGCGAGTGTCGCAGGTCGGGCAGCCCGACGAGCCCGCCTTCTGCTCGCTGACGGAGCGCCGCGGGGTGTCCCCGAGGGTGGAGAGCCAGGCCGTACCACCCGCGCAGCCCCCCAGCCTACCCGCTGGCCTAGGGCTGGAGTCGAGTAGGGAGAGGGACGTGCTGAGGCACTTCGACGACGAGATGAGCACGATATCGCTCGCGACCTCGCTCACCGCCTCGGACGGAGACGCCTTTTCGGGGTCGCCCGATTCTCTGGAGCCACCACCTGCTTCGGCCTCGACACCTGCCGCCCTTTCTGTGGAGTCGCCTGCTCCTGTGGAGCAGGAGGCGGCATCCTTTCCGAGCCTCCCGGACACCATCCACGACACGCCTCCTGCAAGCCCCGAGCAGGTTTCGCAACCTCCCGAGGCGCAGGCCATCGGCACCAAGGGTAAGTCGACGTCGCTGGGCAGCATAGAGAGCTTCGAGCCTGCGTCGCCGCAACCACCGCTGCTCAAGGCGAGCTCGAGCGACAGCCTCACGGGCAAGGTCGTCAAGCCCCCCGGCAAGGCAACGCACCAGGTCACCATCCCCCTCGGCACCAGCGGCCTCAGCATCACGCAGCGGGTCGAGCAGCCCGCCGAGCCGCACCGTGTCACTGTCGCATGCGTGCCCGACCCCGGCAGCACCCCCGCCACTACAACCCCCACGCCCGCGCCCGCCCCGGCCCCCGCGCCCGCCCCCACCAGCACGCCCTCGCCCCCTACAGTCACGCTTGTCAACCAGCCGAGCCCCAACGTCTGTCCGACGACCAGTCCGACGCTCCCCGACAAGCCGACAAGCCAACAAGACACCCTTGACAAGCCGGACAAGGACAAGACTGAGAAGTTGGATTTGCCGGCAGAGCCCGTCCAGCCTCCAACCGTGGAACAGCCCAGCCCCAGCCCGGCACCGCGACCGTCGGGGCTGAGAAAGAGCCTGCCGCCCATGCCGGTGCCAGCCAGCGAGGAGACCACCGGCGTTCCCGAGTTCATGAGAGTGCAGCTGCACCGCGTGGACAGCAAGCCCTCCGTCAACGTTGTGCTGTCCACGGCCAGCAGCCCTGAGAGGGGAAGCCGCAGCAGTCTGGGCGTCATCGACCCCTGGTCCGTCGAGGACGTGGTCACGGACGCCGCCCCGGCACAGGTCTCCCTCCTTGGTCTGCGGGTGAAGCGCGCCGCGAGCAAGGACGACGTGGGCCAGGCCGTCGAAGCCAAGGCTAAGGACGCCACGCTCGACGTTGCGGACACCGTGCTGGCGTCCTCCGTGCCCAGCACGCCGCACAGGGTCCAGCCTCTGCAGAAGAGCGCCTCTGTGACGGTCGTCCCGCAGTCCCTCATACGCAAGCAGCCTCCGCCGGTCAAACGGATGCTGTCCGAGGACAACAACAACGTCATCATCGTGGAGAAGAAGGACAAGAAGGAGCAGCCCAAGACGACCCCGGCGCAGGAGGACGCGATCGCCGCCGCCCGAAGGAAATCTGCGTCGAGAGACTCGCTTCAGCTGCAGTGGCAGTCGAGCCTGGAGGACAACAAGGAGCAGCGCAGCCGGGACTCGTCCATCAGCCCGGTCCTGGACGGCGTCGTGCTCAGGAAGAAGTCGCTGCCGCGGGAGGGCCGCAGCGTCCGCGACGACACCCCCGAGCTCATGAAGGTCTTCGCCCGGCGGTCGCTCAAGGTTCGGGACTCGGACGCGGAGCTGACGCTGTCAACGCTGGCCCAGGGTGCCCAGGCCTGGGAGACCAACGTGAGTATCTTTGGGTGAGCGTAGTAAGCTGACACTGTGGTCGCTCGCATCCACTGATGAATGTTTCGATTGGTTTTTCCAGGGCTCCAGTGAACAGACGCAGCAGCAGCAGACACCGCCGCTGACACCGCCACAGACGCCGCCGCACACACCGCCACAGACGACGCCACAGACGACGCCGCCGCAGACGACGCCAAACACGACGCCGCAGGCGACACCGCAGACCCAGCAGCGCGCCAGCAGAGACAGCGACAAGGAGAATGAGGGGGACGGCGGCGACTCCCTCAAGGCAGAGAGGACCCTGGCGGGGCTGGCGCCCTACAGGTTCCAGCGGTCGGTGAGCGGCGGCCACGTCGTGCAGGCTCAGGATCAGCCCCCGGCCGTGCGGCCGGGCCTCGGACCTGCAGCCGAGAAGCCCGCGAAACCAGCCAAGCCCGTCTCCGCCCCGGCCACCGGCGATACCGTGAAGGACAATAACAACAGCAACCGTCTCCGGACGCGGAAGCCGGACAACGTCATCACCAACGGCAACACCATGAACAACATCAACAATAACAACAACATCAACAACAACAATTCCGAAAAGACAACCCCTACGACACCGCCCCCAGTCTCCAGCGTCGTGGCGAAGATGTCGGCGCGATGGACGCTGCCCGCCGAAGCAAAGCAGACCACCGTGGTGGTGAGCCCGCAGCCGGCCCAGCCGACCGCGCCGGCTTCGAATGAACCGGAGGGAAGCCCCAACGTCGGCGCGCCGCCCGTGCCCAAGTTCAAACGCATCCAGCAGCGCAAGGAGGAGTGGGAGCAGCGAGCCAAAGCACTTCAGCGAGCGACCCAGTGAGGCGCAGGAGCCGCACTGCTGCGTCTAGTTGGTAAGCTGAGAAGGTTCGGTATGATAGTATGATACCTGTTCATGCTTGGGGATTGTTGTCTGAATGTACACTTTCGTTTGCTTCCAGCGCCTCCTCCAGACCGACCGCACCGGGCTCGACGACATCCCGCCGTCATTGGATGTCTTTGGCTATCCAAGACGTGGTCTGTGCCTTTTAAAAAGTTCTGAGAATAAGGGCAAAACGATGGAATATTTTTTACAATTCATTTTTTTTTCCTGTTTTTATGACTTACATTTACTCTGTGCAATGCTTCAATCTTGTGTTACCATTGCCTTTGCTGGGAAATTTCTTTAAGTCAAGTCTTCCTCTCATTTTAAGTGCTAACTACCATAAAACTCATTAAACTGTGTGTATTGTTAATTATTTAGATACACAAAAATATTTTCTGGTCAAAAGCTAATTTGCTTTATTTTCTCTTTGAGAAATTTCAGTCATGTTCTTGAGGATGTATACATATTTTGAAGTTTGTGTATTAATACTTACGTATCTTTACATCCTATATTCTTTTGAAATTGCTTTTAAAAAGTTGATGTATATTTTGTAATTTATGTATTTATGTGTACATATTTATGCCTCTTCTTTTCTAATACCTTCTAAACAGACAAATGTGATTATTTTTCATATGTATATAAGTGTAGGAAATAAGTAACAGTAATGTGAGAGTAGTTTGACTGCTTTTTGTCTGGGTATCAATGTGATGTGCCTAAACATTATCAAATATTTGTATGGAATCATGTTTTCCCTTATGTTTTGTTGAGTAGGATTTTTAAGTATTGCATGATCTTAAAAGGCCATAGTCATACAGTACTCATTATTATTGTCTACTTGATTGAGTGTAGTTGATTTCTACTGCCTGTTGGAGGTCATTTCTTGCACACTCACTGTTCCTTTTCTATCCTATAAAGATTAGAAAAACCTGCTTTTACAGTCTGTTTTGTTCTTTGGTAGAGATATCTGGTGCCAAAGTGAAAGTGTAGTTTTATCTACATTCCGGGTGTTATTGTACTGTCATTATGAATTTGAGAATCTCATCCATTCTTATTGATTTCAAGGAAAGGCAGAAGAACTTCTCAAAGTGTATCACTTCTCATCTCATTCACCTTTGGGAAGAAATTAAAGATCTGTACTTGTTTTTTCGCGTTCTTTTAAATGTGTGTATGTTATACCTAGCAGGGTAGTAATTATAGTTGTTCAAAGTGTATCTCGTATCTCACTTTCTTGCCAAAGGTCAACTTACTCATCTGGCCCATAAAATCAGTTTCTGCCAAAACATTGGCTGTGTATGCTGTTTTTTCTTCTTACCTATTTTGGATATGTGTCTACCAAATTCCCTTGATCATGTATCAGTAATATTAATAACAACTCAAATTTTAAAGTTTGTACTGAGGTAGTGTATTTGAATACACTTTCATGTAATCCAACTCATTGATAGGAGTTGAAAATCTGTTTATTGTATGAATAAATCAGAGAGTACTTGTTAATTTTACAATGTTGCCTCCCTTTATTATTCCCTGCTTACTCTCAGCTCCCAGAAGTGGACCACACAACAAACAACCAGATTGAGCATGCAAATTATTGGACAACTTTAGCTTTACTTTTTGAAGTTTTAGGTAGGTGATTGGAAAGGGGGGGGGGGGAGTATCTATTTTCAGTTATAAATGACTGCATGCAGTTGCTCATAAGTCATATCGGTCTTTTAAAAGCGAATGGAACATTGCTGGTGAATCCTAAATTACTGAGATTATACTAAGATAAATTTTGAAGATATTACATTAGTCAGCAAGGACTTTTAGCCTGATTGGTCCATGATCTGTGGGAAAGAATTAAGAAGTACCTTAGAATGGGGCAGTATAATAAACACACTGGTAAACTCCCCGCACCAGCAATAACTATGATAGACATTGAATTGAATATTCCGCATCCCAGTCGCCTGGATTTAAACTGCGTTAACCAATAAGGTTCTCAAGGTTCGCACTTGTCGAACACGCGCCACAATTCAAATGTCGCGGCCTTCCCGATCGGAATGTCCGGTCTGTTCTCTGCGCCGCTGCGAAACTGACCCCGACATGGCTTGGTTTGGCGGGCAGGTCACGTGACCAAACAGTACGTCGTATGTATGTAGGCGATGTAGGTTGACCAAAATATTTGTATGTGTCGTGCAGATTTTGATATTATGGGTATGTATTGAGTTGACCGTTCCCGTTTAGTAATTTAATGTTGATGGTTCTATCTCCAGAAGCTTATTGTGTCACAATTTTAATCGTGTCATGCTTCTCGTGAGCTCAAGTTAACCGTGTCAGGGGGTCATCTGTGATAGTTGTTGTGTCCTCCAATATGGCTGGCAAGAGCTTTAATGTTTTTTTCACCTCGTAAAACTATGATTTCTTGTGCTCTACGATTTCCTAGAGGTTCTTTACCTTTTCACTGCTTTGGGAAAATTTCTGCCTCATAGATCAGATCATTTCATTTCAAGGCTGGCTTAATGAAATTCACAAGTAGGCCTACATGGAATGTTTTCTGCAGTAGATTTTAATTTTCTAATTGTGTATAGCGATACAGTTTCAGATTTATTTTGGCCAGATTGTGACTCTACTGTACATTTTAACGGTCTGGTATTCGTATCTTTTTTATTTTTTTAAAATGTGACGTCTTCTTTGCTACAAACATTGCAAACCTCAATGAGACAGGTTATGTCATCTCAGTTTGACATTAATCAATGAGGTTCGTACCACTAAATGAGCATTCTAGCACTTGTCCCAAATGCAGGTGTATAAAATTTAGTAGTTAACTCTCTTTTGCATAGCACATTTTCATTTATCTATTCAACCTGTTCAAGTCCTTTAAGTAGATCATAACTGTTTTAAATACCTTGGCAGTGATGTTTATAGTGTTGTTAACAACATTACTCTGACACTACTAAAGATGGCCTTTCCATGAATACTTGTGGCGTACATCCATATCTATCGTAAAACATTTTTTTAAAACTATAGATATCTAAGCTGTGACTGCGTTGCAATTGTAAGGAACCAAAATATTGAAATGATAAAATATTTTTCTCTTCTGTATTGTAGGGCATGACAGGACTAAACTTCTGTGATAAGGATTTATACTTATAAATACCAGGTAAGAAATCTGTAACACTTCATATCTATTCTACTTGTGTGATTTCTGTTCTTACATCATCATTATTACAGGATGAACAATTGCGACACTGAACAGCCAGGCCGTCGCCGGCTACGAGTTGCAGAACTTCACCCACACTTAATGTGTATATTATGTGGAGGGTACTATGTGGATGCAACTACAATCATTGAATGCTTACACTCTTGTAAGTCCTGTTTCACTAGCTTCTTTATTCTTTCACCTCCTCAACTTGTCAGAACTGCAGTAAATATGTATGATTTCTTGTTTCAGTTTGCAAAAGCTGTCTTGTGCGATATCTAGAAAGCAATAAGTACTGTCCAATATGTGAAGTTCAAGTCCACAAAACTAAACCACTCCTCAATATTCGGCCTGATGAAACATTGCAGACAATGGTTTACAAACTAGTTCCGGGTCTATTTCACCGTAAGTTTAGTAAATAATTGATCTTTTTCTCTACTATCTATCTACATGTTAGAAAATTTATATTTTTTCACTCTCTCCTCTTAGGAGAAATGAGGTACCGTCAGGAGTTTTATGCTCAGCATCCTGAAGCTCCAGACTCTAACCCTGAGGACAGAGGTATTGTTGATCCAATTGAGTGTCAATACTACTCACCTGAAGAGCCTGTCAGTTTGGCACTGGAATTTAAGACAGACAGTATTAACAACAATGTAAGTACAATACCTTGGAATAGAATTTGTTGGTGTAATTCAAGTTTGTATACTATTAACTAATCCATAACATCTGGCATAATAGGGTGTCTACAAGCGCTACCTTCGATGTCCTGCGGCTGTTACTGTTTCACACCTTCAAAAATTGGTTCGGAATAAGTATGGTCTTTCTTCAATGCATCATGTAGATGTTTTGTTTGACGACAAGCTTCTGACCCCGGATTATAGTATAATGGATGTTGCCTACACATTCCAAAGGAAAAGAGTAAGTGTGCGTCCCTGTACAATCTCAGGGTGGGCACGCAACAGGAAAGTCAGGGGAAGACAAGGGAAATTAAGCAGTGGTCGGAGAAAATGACAAAGTCCTGCACATTAATACTATTTTGGAGCTTCTGGAGATATTGTAGTTTCATGTCGCTGAAAAGTTGCATAGAAAGAATCTTGAAAAAATAAATAACCAAAGCAATAGTGCTGAATGTTAAGGACTTAGACAACTCAATTTGCGTGGCCACCCTGAATTGAAATTTGGTACAATACATTCCCTTTACCTGATTATTTCTTCTGTTTGCAGAAAGAACAGTTCAACTTTACATACCGTATTTTGGAAAATCAATTCAAAAGGAGAAAACTAGAGGAGTCTAATGCAGTTGTAGATGCTGGAGAGCCAATGGATGTTGATCCACCTCCTCCCTCTCTCCCTAAATCAGGTACAATCCAACCAATGCAACAAGCGAAAACTGTGGGTGCCTCGCAGACAGATAATAAATCTAAACTTGATTCCATAATATCTAAAATATCTGCAAAAAAATCAGGTGTTGCTAAGAAAGAGAGAACTGGTGACGAGTGGAAGGAAGTGCAGTTGCAAATTAGTGAAAGTGGTGTGATGAGTGTCACAGACATTAGTTCAATCAACAAACTTATCAACAGTATTGAGAAAAATGTTGGTCCATCAGATCGCAGTGAGACCAAAGCCATTGGCAATAAAAAAGAGCCTTCACCTGAGAAAATACCTTCTGTGAAGAACAAATTGTCATCTGGGTCTGCAGTTTCTCAAGATGACAAAAATGCCCCTTCCACAAATATTGTTCAATCAAAAGAGTCCAAGGATATTGAGGTATCAGTGAAAACTGATGTTCGTCAATTGAACTCAAATGAGCCAGTTAAATCAGAAATAAAAGGAGAACCTCCAGCACCCAAGCCTTCAATGAATATAAAGGAAGATGGAGTAAAGAAGCCTAAACCTGATGTGACAGAGACCAAAATTATGCAAAATCCAGTATCAGCTAAAGTATCTACAACCTCTTTGAAAACTCAGCCAAACATTCCATTGCCAAAAGTTCCAATAACTTCAAGTGCAACACAAAGTACCCAATCATCCGTGTTATCAAGTTCAACCTCAAGCAGCATGTCATCTATATCCTCAAGTTTGTCACAAAATAGTTCAAAATTGAGTATTGTTCCTGTAAGTGCTCCACCACCTACAGCACTAAAAATGTGTACTGTCACACTTGGTTCAAGCCAAGTTACCCTGTCACTTTCACCATCTCCGTCATTGAGCTCCAATTCCAACATGGTTCCCACTAGTGGGCCTGTCTCAAAGCCTACCAGTTCAGCTTTGACAACAACAACAGTTACAAGAGCGTCACCAGTACCTGTGCCCAAACCAGCTCCAGCTGCTTCAAGTTCAAAAAAATCAAGCTCATCGCCTGTAGGTTACAAAACCTTGAAGTGTGGGCCGAAGAATTGGAACCCCACAATATCAAGAAACAGCTTCTTATCTTCGAAGGTTGAGCAGCAGGCTCCCCAACAGGGTAGTAGCACCAGTGCAGGAAACTCAGCATCTAGCTCATCAAAACCTGCTGCAGCACCTCGTTTCTTCAAAATGAGAAATACACCACGCTACTTAGGGAATCCTGCATCAGGTGTGAAGGCTATGTACCAAATACCAGACAGCAAACCTGAAACTCCTGCACCTGCTAAGTCACCCTCTGTTATGAAACTAGACCCCAGAACTCTCTCCCCCATTGTATCTAATTCATCTTCACCTACTTCTAAATCATCTCCTGTTCAACCAAAAGCTAGACCTCCATTTCCATCGACTACTCTCTCTGCTCAAGTTAGTAATAGTCATATGCCTTCATCTCGGAGTGTAACAACAACAACTACAACTTCAAGCTCGGCCTCGAAACTTGCAGACCTATCAAGCCTTCGCAGTTCTCCCACTCAGGCACTGGTGAACCCTTTTTTGTCAAACTCTTTCATGCCAAAAAATCTACCGAACTTTTTCCTTAATATGACACCTGGTCTACTCCCAAGTGCAGCACAGTTTGGTATGATGCGCCCAGGCTTAGGGTATCCTCCAGCCTCAGTGAGTGGATTCCACCCATCATTACCTCAGACTGCTGGAATGCTTTTCAACCCTCATCAATTACACCGCCAACTTAGTGCCTCTTCACCTGGCAGTCCTACGGGATACCCATCATCACTACCTCCATCTCCATCAATGTCACTTTCTCCATCTTCCTCTTCTACATGTTCATCATCATCATCATCTAAACACTATTCTGCTGGTCAGAGAATTCCAATGAGCAATGACAAGTTATCAAGTGCTTCTAGTTCGCAGTCTTCTCCAAGCCGTACTAATCGAACTAGTTCCTCTGGGTGTGATGTATCTGTGTCTAATTCTAAAGGACTAGGGACTGAAAAAGTTAATGGTTCAGAGTCACTTAAGATTACAGTGGAGAACACTGCTAAAGCAAATACTTCCAAAAAACATGATGAAAAGGCAGATGCAAAGTCCAAAGGACTCTCAAATTCAGTGTCAAAAGATACAAAACCACCAACATCCAGTGCAAGTGATAATAATAATACCCTTTCAATATCTAAATCGAAAACAACTTCAGAGAAACCTGAAGCTGGCAAACTTCCTCATGATATTTCAAATTTGCTTCCCAAAGAAGCAGGAAAATGTGGAAATGAAGAGCTGGCTTCTAGATCAAAAACTCCGAGCAGCACATCATTTCAGGCTCAGCAGTTATAATGTCTTGCTAGGTTGTTGATCTTGATGCTCTTTTGAGAGCAATTTATGTTTTAAGTTTTGCAATATGGGCTGTGCCCTGTGTACAAAGTTTTAAGTGCACTTTACTTGTTTGTTAGAGGAACATATTATTTTGCACGTGTGCACAAGTTTGTTTTACAGTACAAAGGTGTGTATGTTTATTAATACTGTGCTGGTGGAGGATGACTACACCCACATTTTAACTTATCATCACAAAAATAGCATATTGTATAAATCTGTGAAGCAATAATACAAATTGTATACTTTCACTTTTGTGGGGGTTTTGTACATACTGTATTTTAATTGTTATTGTTGGATGTGATTCCCCTTTCCTTGGGAATATGAATGAGTTTGAATTAATGGAAGTGCTCAAAAAATTTGCAATGAGTCTTTTTTTTTTTTTTAAGAAAAAAAAAAAAAGAATCTAATGACATGTCTGGTAAAGTCACCCTGTTGGTGATTGTGTGATTTAATATTCTATTCTCTATACCGGTATTTTGAAGTGTAAGTTGTAGTGTTTTAAAGATGCTGTTATTTTTTGTAAGTATCAATATGTATCTATATTTATAATATTGAATAGTTGCCTGAAATTTGGCAAGATTATAATTTTCTTTTTTAATTTTAAGGGATGTATATAACATGGGGTTTCTTTCATCATCACACTTTTGGTACCCTATTTATCTCTTTCCCTCTACATGTGATATTTGTGCACTGTTAAGACAACCCATAACAGATCCACAGTTTAAGTCTAGTTTAAATCACATAGTTATTAATTTTGGATCACCTCGTTTCTTCCCTGTTCTATGTTTTGGAAATCTGTGCTGTTTAATCTCTTGAGACAGACTGCTCAGCCAGCTGCCTACTTTTACGTGAAGAAACTCTAAACCCACCTAATTTTTATTTTCAATGAAATTTCTTTTCATCCAAAGAAACCAAGTGGCTAACAATCTCACTCAGTGCCTTCAAGGATTTATACCCTTTTTTACATCCTCTTTGATAAATGTGCCCGTAATGTTGGTCTTCCTTCTGCTGTAAATTGTAATCATACTCACCACAGAAATAAGGCCCATCTCTAACCTATCCATACTAACTGCCTTTTGATTTGTGATTCATGTAATACTGTCTTCATCTAACATAGACTACAGTAATATTTAAGGGTCCACATAAATTGACTTAATTACAATTTTCTACAATATATCTTCCACCCTGTTTTGAGGTAAATATTTTATTTACCTACTTGTAATTTTTTATTCATGGCAATGTGTCCACTTACAGATAATGTGAACTGTTAATATTTTTCAAAAATATTTTTGTAATACTAGCTCTAATAATGTTGACGAACATTAGTCAATTGTTTTACATGTTAGCGCAGGGTATTGCTTGTATTTCTTTCTTTTAATACCAGTACAGACTTTCTATTGTGCCTTTGAGAGGTTGCCTCTATCAAACTATTATAATCTATTTGTTTTCATTGTTGACTAGTTTGAAGAATGTGCCTGAAAAGGCATTCTCGAGACAATTAAGAAGTAGCATATGGAGTGGATCTGAAACCATATTGGTGTTTTTTCTATATTATCATTGTTTTTGTGAATCTCCTTACTGCTGGATTCTTATTTCAATTAGCAGAAGAAATTCTGTGCTTAACATGAAATTTTCTCACTTTAAATTGACACAACTTCAATTTGTTTTTTTTTAATATTCTTGAAGTTTATTTTTAAAATTCTATGGTTTACAGGGTTTTTTTGTACTGTCTGTATAAAAATCATGCTTTTTATCTTTGTGTGAGAAAGTTTCATTTTCTTACTGAGCTTGTCAAATTGAATGAATGTGAATTTTCAATATTGTAAACAAGCGTTTTTTTTTCCGTGCAGATTCTCTGCAAAGTTTGTTTCGTTCAGAGACTGGACTGTTTTTCAGTACTTGGATACTTGTTGATGTATGTGTACTTTTACTTGGCACTAGTATTTTATTGTTGTGCTCACTCTCCAAAGTTGATTGATATTTCACATCAGTTGAGTATGTTTGTCAACTTTCTGTCTACTGCTTAATTTTTTCTTTTTCACTGCTGCATGGGCGTTTCTAGTCTAGTCTTTTCATTAATTGTACATTTGAAAGGCACTGTCTTCAGCTTACTATGCATTACAATGAATGTTAATTCTCTTCAAGTTTTACTTACACGTTGAAGTTCAATGTCTTATGTATATTTTGTAAATGTGTGCCAACTTCCTTTAGATTTCTATGCATATATTATGTATTTTTATGTTCAGTTGGAAGCTTGTTTTCATTAAACATCTGCATTGCAGAAAACATCACTCTTTATGTCTCAATTTTTTATTAATATAGTATTTATCACAATTTTATTTAAAAAGTCGTACACTTTCAACACGTAAAAGTGTAAGCAATATTATGAATGTAGCAAAATATAATGAAAATAGTGATTACATTTAGAGAAGGATTCCATTGACTGCAATTTCATCTCGCATAGGTATTTTGTTCGAATGGAATAGGTTTGAAGATTAAGATTGATGATTCATATCACAGGCAAACAATGACTAAGATTGCAATGAATAGCAAGATGATTACGGTCCAGAGTCCTAAGACAAAGTAATGTTTAAGTACTCAGGAGGAAGATATTTAAAATTGCACTTTTAAAAAATACAGTAGTAGCTTACCACATGTAGAGTCTTTTCTTGATATTGTGCGGACCTGCCGTGTTTCATTCATTAATCCCACTGTGGTACGATCAATACCATCAGCCAAGTCATCAAGAATTTCTGAAAGCAAATAAAGTTTATGACTATAGTAGTTCTGCTATCTAGTCTCATTCCATACCTTACTCACCATTGTGCACATCTACTTCATCTCCTATTGTTCGTGCTATATCTTTTTGTCGGGAAATTATTTTAGCTAATTCTTCTAGGCCAGCATCTTGTTCTAGAAAAAAAAACAAAAACTGATCAGGTCAAGTTCTAAAATTTTCAAAAATAGCTTAAAATATTTCTTCCAGTAATAAATACCATACCTCTGATCACCTGTTGTGTCATACTCTGAGCCCTCGCAACATCAAATGTGTCAGAATCAGGTTCATTGCCCCATCCTGTCGTACCCATGTCTGCAAAGACATTGGAACTGCCAGCACGATTTGTTAGCAGCTGGGAACGGTTGTCATCGCTTTCACGATTTCTAAAGGAAAAAGAATGTTGTTACCATAAAATGAGACAGACTGACTACAAGTTAATGTTCAAATTGACAATCTACCTAGTACTAAAACGCTGTTGAAGTTGGCGTATTCCACTCTCTAAGTGCTCCACAAGTCTTTTCCTTCTTTCAGCCTCATGAGGTGTTCTGAACCAAGAGAATGTTAAGTATTTGACACACTTCATCAAAATCATATCAGTAACTAGGAATCTTAGGTTTTAATAGACAAATAAAAGGATACATTGTTTCTCTCCCTGCAGTAACTGACAACTTTCCACGTAGTTGTTGGACTTCTACTTCAAACTGTCTCAACCTGACTCGTATGGAAGCTGACAGTTTGCCATAAGCAGCTGATGACGGAATTTGAGAATCCCGCTCTGAGAGCTGGGCAGCAATTTCACGGAACAGTTTTTCGCATGCCTCATGCTCCCTCAGCCTAGAACACAAAATGCAACATGAATGTCTCAAAGATGTAAATAAATAAACAGTCCTAAATAACCAAAGAAGCAGTACTAAGACATTTGACATTTGACATCCATGTTTGATTGATTGATATCTTGTATGTAACTGGAACACTAAGCCCAAGAATAGTGCTACGTCCATCTAGCTTACCAAGGATCGCCATCAACATCAACAAGAGACATTTTGGATTAAAATGGTATCAAAGACAGCAACAAACTGTTGACCATGACCCTAGCCCAAGGAATAGGGAGGAATCGTTGATGTTGATATGTTGATGATGACGTTCTGCTAGCGTCTCGTCCGCCTTTGGTGGCAGGGTGTGGGTCGACGCGAGACTAGCGCCATATATGAAAAATTGTACATCCGCTAGCCGGGTTGGGAAGGGGGGGGGGGAGGGGGGCTGGAGAGTTGAGCGAAGAGCCTGCGCCCGGACCCGGCCGGAGCCCGAGGCCCCAGGTCCGCGGTCCGCCCCCCCAGCCCAGACCCCAGTCTCGATTCGGTTCGGGTTGGGGCAGCATCGAGGCGCCCTCCGCCCTGCTCGTGCTCCGGGGCCCATAGCGACTCGCGAGCGTCACCACGCCGCCGCGCTCGTCGCGTGAGCCTGCGCGCCGCGCGCCGCCGCTGCTGTAACAGTTGACGTGGAGGTTGGAGTCTCGACGGGGCACGCCGGGGTGGACCCCCACATCGTGGTGCTCGTCTTCCGGGACGGGCGTAACACGGCGGCAGACACTTCGCGCGCGTCGTCTCTCGCGCCGGAAACCACCTGTTAGTGGCTGTTAGGTGCGCGTCGTGCATAGTGTGTTATTTGCACCTGTGCTGCTGCTCGGAGCTGCCGGTGCGGCGCGCCTGGCCGCAGCGCAGGGGTGCAGCAGAGCGCGCGGGCGGGACGGGGCCAGCGCCACTCTCATCTGGAATTCCCTTGGTCCGGCCGCTGCTGCCGCTGCCGCCGACACCCTCTAGGACGTCCTCCGCCTGCGCCATGAAGCGCTCCAAGAGATACCGGAGCGAGTGAGGCCGAGGCCGGGGACCAGCAGGAGGAGGAGGAGCGGCCGGAGCTGCTTCCCACATCACCTCTCAGCGCCTCTCGGCGCCGCTCAGCGCCGCTCAGCGCCCTAACGGATCTCAGGTGGGTGAATAATGCATAATGTGTGCCGTCCTCTCATATGAGGTGCTGTCACATCTCGGGGACACCCCCTCCTCTCTCCACCGACAAACCCTCCCCCGCCCCACCTAGAGATACTGTAGCCTTA